AATTTCACTTAGAGTGAATAAGACTCTGGAATTATTTTTCTCCAACAGTTTTGTGTACTCACCAGAGTGTGCTCCCTCCTTTAGCTAATATTTGCAGTAACTTTATATGTTAAAACAAGGCTATGCAGTAGCTGCTGGTAGCTTAATCATGTGGCTACAAAATTAACCTTTGACCTTTCTTAGCCTCATCAGGAAATTGATTTCAGGAGCTATTCCTTAACCCAGGATATGTGGTTAAAGTTAAACATCACTAATAGGAAGTCTAGTAACAGGAAACGTGTGAATGCTAATCCATACAAACATAAACAAACCTTTGGCTTACACACAGTTTTATTGGAATTTTCCTCTGCACTCCCTTTCCTCCAATAAGCCAGAAAAAATTACAGGCAGCTATTTTTTTTTTTTCTGGCTATAGGTTTATTAGATTTCTGCTAAAGGAGACTTTCAAACTTGGGTAGAATTTTGTGAAGAATTGTCTCAGGATAGTTACATGCAATTCATCTTCACTGCTGTTCTGGTCAATGAGGCCACTCTAGAGTGCTGATCAAATTTTTTAGGCAAAGTACTAAGTGGGAAAATTTCTTTTTGTGTAACAGAATTGGGAGATTTAGAGAAAAGAGGCTTACAAAAAAAAAATCTCTTTCCATAAGGTCATTTTGAAATATTTTATGAAAAAAATTGTCAGAAAGTCACTGAAATGAATATAATTTCAGGACCAAAAAGTAACTTTGAGAATTTGAAACATTTTTATTGTTTTCATTGAATTCCAGCTACATTTCACTATCAAAACAGGCTGGTGGGACTTGCAGCTAAACACAAGCCAGTTAATCACCACAGATATAAGTACAGGCTTTACCTTGGAAACCTGTGACTTATGCTTCTTTCTTCATACTAAATCAACAAAACCTTCATGTTCTTATTGAGCTCCACTGAGTTCAGTGGGATATTGTGCATGTCCATTGACACAGATCAGCTTTCAGGATTAGGGCCAAAGTAACTTTTCTGGGAGGAGTTTCCTTGAAGTCAGAGGAGGATCTTATGGGAACAGAAAAAAACGTCTAGTCTGACAAAATTCTTTCTCAAAACAGGAAAGAACAAGATAGCTGTAAAACAGTAGCTTACAATCTCTGTAGTTCCTCTTTTGTCCTGTCCAGGTTGAGTAAATCAGTGATATTCATAAAATAAACCAGGCAAAGCATTTACTATGCATATTAAAGCAGGGGATATGCATTAGAATAGTGTCATAATGATACATGTTGACTTATTTACAAAATTGGCTAACCCACAAGGCACACAATTCGTGGCTTTATTTTGCAGATAATTTTTTCCTAAGGGAACATTTTCAAAAGAGTTCTTAAGATGTACTATTATGTTAACTTGAATAAAAATGTTATTGCATGTAAAATGAATATCTGATGACTGTCTAAAATGTGTTTAATGATTAACAGCTGTGAGGTAAACTGTAAACATATCAGTGCAGCCTTGTTAAATAAATTTGGGATTAATTCACTTTGCCTTAATACAGTGTCTCTTCTAGAGATCATAAAAGCTTCTCTTTGGGGTTTGAAGGTTCTTTGAGTATTTGGTTGATTTTCCATTTCTGGAGCCCTGTTTGCAGACCGATGTATTGCAGTCATTCACTCCACTGTAGTCCAAAAGCTCTTTGCTTACAATACCCAGGCAAACTTGTAAAATTGATTTTGATCACAGCCTCATTAAACACATGTTTTGCAAAGTGAGACCGATGAGTGAGGAATATTCAGTCTACAAGAGCCCTCCCACTTAAATGTAATAATGTTAAAAATGGAAAAAAAAGTTGCTATGTAGAGGCGTGACAATATTTATACAAGCAACTCTTATGGCCTGATTTTCTCATTAGTCTGGTGCTGTTGGAATCATTCCTGAATTCAATAAATTTAAATATAGCTCAAGATTTGATCATAAGTTAATGGAATTTAATTGAAAGCTATAAAGAAGAGGTGGAGTAAGCCTCAAAGCCTCAGAGTAGTATTAACCAACTTTCTTTTTATTTGTTTGCTAGCAAAAATCAAAGATTTCCCCTTTTTATATATGATACCAATTGGCAAGGGGTTTAATCAGTTCCCTAGAATACCAGTTTTACAGTGAATTTCAATCAGGCAATAAATGTAATATTTTAAAATGTTTGAACCTTGTGACACTCGCCTTTTTCTACAGGAAAAAACTCAATGTTTTTCTTATAAATCTGCTTTCCTCCCCCTCCCCCATCGTTCAAATATTGCTTTATGTTTTGTGTTAAAAAAATGCTGGTACTCATGAGAAGGAATCTGTCTTTATCGTGCTTGTTTTGTTTTGATGGAACAGAAATCAGTGTCAACCTGTCAATGTGAGACAGTCCTTTTTTACTTCAGTACCTTAACAATGGCATTCTAATGAGGAACATAATTTGCCTAATTAAAAGGTTATCTGTAAGATGCAGCTGCCCCTCCTGCAGCTGGAATGAGCACAGAACTGGGCAGGTGTACCTGGTGAAGCTGGGAATCCCTTATTTCCCCCAAGAAGGAGAGGTCTGGTAACTCACCTGAAGAGGCTTTGTAGTTGTAGACGCTGGAAAACATGATGAGGAATCAGTCCCAAGTCACAAGATTATCTTCTGATTCTTCAAAGGGTGGTGCTGCCATCCTCACGGATCTGGATAGGCTGGAGAAATGGGCTGACAAGAACCTTACAGAGGTGGACAAGGAGAAGTGACAGGCCTGGCACGTTCAGGGGAACAACGCCATGCACAGAATACCATGCATAGCTGGGGTCTAACTTGCTGGAAAGAAGCTTTGCAGAAAACAGCCCGGTGTCCTGGTGGATGCCAAGTTGTCACGAGCCACAAACATGCCCTTGCAGCAAAGGCTAAATGTATCCTGGGCCATACTGGGAGAAATGTTTCCAGCTAGTCAAGGCAGGAGATCCTTCCCATTTCTGAAGTACTGATGAGGCCACTCCAGAGTGCTGTGCCCAGTTCTGGCCTCCCAGAACAACAGAGACATGAACATACCAGAGAGAGTCCTCTGAAGGGCCATGAAGATGATTAAGGGACTTGAGCATCTCTCCTGTGAGGAAAGGCTGATGGAGCTGGAGGGGTTTAGCCTAGGGAATGGAAGGTTCAGGGAGGCACCTCTCCATATAAGTAAATATATAAAGGGAAGGTGCAAAGAGGATGGTGCCAAGCTCTTTTCAATTGTGCCCAACAAGACAAGAACAATGGGTTCCATCTGAAGCAGGCATTTCCTTCTGAACATGAGGAAACAATTTTTCGCTTTGCAGCTTGCTGAGCACTGGCACAGGCTGCTTGGAGAACATGAGGAATCTCCCTCCCCAAAGATGTTAAAAAACTGTCTAGTCATGGGCCTGGACAACTCTTTGTAGGTGACCCTGTTTGAACAGTGGAGTTAAACTGGATGACCTCAAGAGGTTCCTCCCAACCTCAACCATCCTGTGGTTCTGAATGAATGCTGTATTTGTTTTCCAGACTTTAGTGGGCAATGCATCCAGTGACAGATCAAATGAAGGCTATATCAGTAGAGTATGTTGTTTGAGCAGCCACTTATTGATCATGTGAAATAAAATAGTTGCCCAAAACTTGAATGGAAATGGAAACGTTAAACAGAAGAATATGCAATGTGTGGCTATCAGGCTGATAGTTTTAGTCTTTCTATTGTTACTTCAGATTTATGTAATGGAATGAGTTCACTGCACACCTAATGGACAGGTATCCTAAAACTGTAAATTTACATCTCATTCAGTTCCAAATTATACTCCTTCTGTTGTTCTTTGACTTAGATCTGGTACTAGAAGATTCAGTGTTCGGTTACCTTGTCCTCCATCTTTAAAGAAGATTGTAAGAAACACAGCAATTGTTTATATTATATTTTGTGTATAGGATGTCAACGTCTAGAGGCAGTAGTCAAGAAAATACTTTTACAGAAAAAAAACCCAATCAATAATCTTGTTTAATTGTTAGATTCTTCAAAGTTTTTTATCCATCATAATTGACAAAACTGAAGCCTTGACAAAGACAAACCAGCATTTTTTGAAATGTTACTATAGTGCATGCCTAAGTAAGCAATGGGCTCTAAACAAACTTCTTCACATCAGGAGTGTCCTATAGCCGGAGTCTGTGTCTCAGTCCTCTTTCTATCCTGTATGGATACCTGCTTCTTCAGCTGTAGGTCTATTTCACACTTGCAGGGAATCCATTTAGAATTAAAGGCAGTTAAGGTTCATTAATTTCAAGCTGTTGTTATGATCATACCTGCTACATAATACATATTTGAAGTAGTTTGATTAAATGCATGTATGTGGTGAGTTATTGCAGGTTTACAGCTCTAGTTTGCTGAAGGAAAAGCAGCATTTTGTTGTGTTCTAATAGAGCTAAAAAGTGTCATAAATATTTCTTATCACAGCATTTTGGTGATAGCCAGCAGTAAATGTGTGTGAACATTTTAACAAAATGTTCCATCTTTCTTAACAAAATCAATGCAACCCCAAAGAACTGTTTTGGTTTTGGATGCAGCAAATTCTGTTCAACATTATCATCACAATGCAAATGAGTTTGGAGCTCCTTGGCCACACCAGTATGGTGGGAGAGACTTATCAAAACCCAGGGATATCTTAGGAGCTGTGAAGTGGATGGTGGCTCCACACCATAATAAGAGATAATAATCTCTTCCCCATTACTAATCACTTCCTCATGGCTGAAGGTCTACACTACATGCATTTGACAGCTGTTTAAAATATACAGAACCCCCAAAGCTGCACTTGCAAAATAAAGTAAAAAGATTTTGAAGCCAGAAGCTGGGAGCAAAAACTAAAATTCTCTGCTGCTTTTCATTCTGCCTTAGTCTCTGAAATTTCTTTTTAAAGCAAGTAGCTTAAATTTCGGGGCATGGTATTTAGTCAACCCAAAATATTTTGCCACAACTCCCTTAATTTCCAAGACCTTGTGGTTGAACTCAGAGTCTCTGTGTTTCATTTGTACATCTTTTGGTGGTTTAATATGTTTTCTTCTCTTCCAGATATATTTGAGGCATCTCTGTGCTGAGCTCTCTCATCTGAAAGAGGCTGACAGCGTATGAAGGCAGAGAAGTATCCTTTGATGAGAAAATGCAAATCCCAAACAAAACATTTGCAGAACCACTAATAACCATTTCCATGCAATTGAGCAATGATATGGTATTTTTTATAGAATGACTCAAAGGTAAGGCAGACTCCTTATAGGAAATCCAACAAATAACTTCATATACACCCCCCTCCACACACTTCTTTCTACAGAGGGCAATTTTTACTTAATACAATTAGTGTCAGGACTCTCTGAGCATTTCGTGGAATTGAGGTTTGATCTCTTTGGTCTCAGAAATGACTTGTGAGTGGTTTAAGGAGTTTCAGAGTGCAACAGGAAACTACTTTGTCAAATACAGTCAGAAGGAGTTTCTAAATTTGGAAGAAGGTGTGGTGCTCTGAATCTGATATTCAGAGATGCTGGGTAACCCCAGCAGTTGTTAGTTTTCATGGTTGTAAATTCAGCACTTTGAAATGAGGGAACTGACAATACAAAAGTAAGCAAAATCTTGAAGAGTTTGGAAAGTATTCATCTTATTTTAAATTTTACTTCTTTGACTTTACTGTTACGGTTATGGCCACTTTATTAATTAATTTTCACAATACTATTTGATAAAGAAAAGATACAGATCTGTGAGCTTGGCTTTTTTTTTTTTTTTTTTGGTTTTTTTTATGCTTTCCTTATTTAGTTCAACTTATATTTTAAAATAATTTAATTTAGCAGAAATGATTTTAATTCTTATTGAACCATAATATAAAGCTGTGGATACTGTAATTACATTTAATTATAATGAGCATGTCTTTCAAAAAAACCCTAGTTAGTCAGGTTTGGGTTTATAAAAAACATCAGTTTATGGTGCATTTAAAGTCTGATATTCTACTATGTTAAATCAGGTTTATTTCTACTAGTAGAGCTTGGCTAGGAAAATGAATTCAAACCAAAGTTCAGATATGACATTTTTCTGTATCTGGTAGAAACACAGATCCTATAACATCCAGATATTCAAATGTGCCTTAGGCACACTTCCATTTCTGATTGGATTCAAAAACTTTGAAGAAAATACTTCACCAAAATATCATTTTACTTTTCTGCATTACAAAAATCAGAAAAGGAAGCTAAAATGGAAAAAAACTGAAGGTTCTCTTTACTGGTGGAAAACAAAGTAGCTTCATTGTAGGGTATGTGTGGAGTGCTAGGAGAAGAAGAACTTAGGTGTACTTAGTCTAGCAGCCTGCAGTGTCTTGTCTCCATTGTCAGCAGAAGATTAGATTGTGTTCAAAATTTCTAAGCTAATAATTATGATTTATTTATTAAGTCAGGCAGAGACTGACTCATTTGGCTTAACAAAATTTAAGGTGTGATCGATCTCATTGTAGTGTAGATCAGCAAAAGTAGGTCAGATGAATCATCTTTAAGTGCTTGTTTTTCTTCTTTAACTTAAAAAAAATCCCAAAACAATCTAAATTAACTAGCTCAGATATAAACATCCACACTCTAGGGGATTAAAATCAGATGAAATCTACCCAAAATATTCACAGTTTGGTTCCAGCTGGATAAAATAGGCTGTAGTATGTTTGGTCTGGTTCAGTCTTGGTCTTTATAGGTCATGTAGCTGAGATCCTGGTCTGTACTGAAAAGCTAATTGCCATCCTTGAAAGGTTAAGATTATGGGGTGTACTTCTGCTAAGTGCACAGCTACAGGTGGGCAGTGTCTTTGTAGTTGGGCTCACATGTTGGCATAGACCTACCTAAAGCACCTGGTTCAGTAGGAAGAAGCACTGTCCCTCCAGATTTGTTCCTCTCCTGACCACCACTGGCCAGTGGGTCAACTTTCTCAAAGATGTTGCAGCCAGCAAAAGCAGGACGTGTCTGTTAGAGACTATGACCAAGGAAAGAAATGTTTGGGATATTGAGGTGTCTCTAAGAACATCCCAAAAGAAGGATGTTTGATCTGGGAAGCTTTGGGTTTACTTTTATTCTGTAGGAAAGTAACTCAGGAAAGGTTCATGTCATACTGAAGGGGGGGCAAAAGGGAGACCCATAAGTTGTCACTTCTGTTTGAGAAGTGCTGCATCTGTTGCCATGCCAATTATATCAGGAGATCTTTCTGTCGGTCAAGTGGCTCTACATTATTAATCCCAGAGTGAATGTATCTGAAAAAAGCTAAATACTGAGAACATCAATAAAGTTCAGGTGTACACATTTTATTAGGAACAGAAAAGGTGTAGGAGTCTCTGAGTGTGTTGAAGAGATTATTTTCTTAGGCCTTGTGTCTTGCTGGTTCATTCCTTTTGATTTTAAATATCCTTTTTATTTCTTCTTTTCAGTTTCAGACGAATTCCTTAACTTAAAATTGTTATCTTGCACTGTCTCAAGGGAAAAAGCTGAAACTGCTCCTACAGTTTTCTAGCTTAGTCCTCTCTATAATTTCCTTTTCAGAGTTTAACTCAGGATTTGCCAATAATTGACCATGAGTTCAATTTTTTTTGATCGAACCTCTTTTTGCAGTTTCCTAAGCTTGCTATTGTTGCCTCGATTATGTATCATGTAAGGAATTTAATTTCTTGGAATTAAGCTGATTCTTGATTTCATCAGTAATAAATCTCCATCAAGAGATCTATTTTTAAACTCAATCTGATCAGTAGTTGTCTTTAACAAGAGATTAAATGTATAGAGTACCTGAGGTATGAATGCACTTTTAATTTGCTTCCAAAGTTGCTGTGAAGTTACTTCAGGTTTCTGTAATTAACCTGCAGCCATTTCTTCTGTCTTCTGTAGCTTTGTAACAAAAATAAGCAGTTAGATCCCCCTGTGGTTCTCCTCCAGCATCTGCTGCTTTTGTGTTTCTACTTGGTTCCACAGCTCGGATCCGAGTAAACTTCCTGCCATCAAACACAGTGCTGTCCCAGTAAAACATCTTTTAGTTCTCTGGTCCTTCCTGTTAATCTTTGTAGGTGTGGAAGAGGAATTATTAAATTATTTATATTGGCAATTATATATCTTATCTCTCGCCTACTTTAATTTGGGATATAAGTGAAGCACTGGTTTAAAAGAGGATGAAGCTAAAAGCAAGGTTCCGTGACCTAACTGGGTTATGCATATTTTGAAATTGTCTACAAGGAAGCAATAGTTTTCTAAGGGTTATAATTCTTTCAGTGAATGAAAGAGTCATTTCATGACAAATGCTATTATACTTCAAAGGTAGAGGGAAGAGGTGAAAGTGAAGCCACTGCTTGTGCTAAAAATTGAAAGTCACCCTACCAGTGCTCTTTACTTTCAGAGTAAAACTGACAAGTCTGAAATATCTAGTTCAAATGTTTGCCATTGACTAGCAGGCATTTGTTTCTAAAGCTGGCAGAAGCAGTTTTCATTCTTTCTGCCTTCTCAGTGATTGATCTGTTTCTTTCTGGTTTTCTTTCAGAGAACTTAATTGCATGATTTTTTTTTTTTTTTTAAAAAACAAGCACATCAAATGTCACAACATTAGCATAATCATAAAAATGTCAAGCATTCAGTGCATTTGCAATATGCCAGAGCTTACTGGAGAACATATTTTTTCATTTGATGAGTGTGAACCTCTGGAACATGCCTTTGAATGGGCATCTCTTTAAGAGGTGACTAGTGGTTGCTACAGATTATTCCCATTAGGGAAAAGAACAATTTTTCCCTAAAGTAAAATAAAATTGGTCCTTAAATGTAGTAGATCCTAAAGGAAAAGACAGATATAAAAGGTTATCTAAGAAAAGGAAATGTTACTGATTTCTATCAGTAGAAGTATTTGGGTGGGAAGGGACCTTAAAGAATATCTAGTTCCATCCTCCCTGCCATGGGCAGGGACATATTCCATCACACCAGGTTGTTCAAAGCCCCATCCAACCTGGCCTGATGATGTGTTGTGTCCTGTGCAGATTTTTGTGTCTGGCTGGCCATATTGATCTCTAGCTGTGAGAACCTGGAAAGCTGGACCACAAATTTTGGTGCCTGTCATAATCTGGATACTGCCATCTGTGTCATGGGTAATATTTTTTAAAAAGTATAAGTAGTTGATCAACGCTGTATATTTAAGATAATTAGATAAGCTAAAAAGCATCTGGTGCATGCTAATAAATGTACTTTTTTGATTGCATCTAAACTTGTGCAGAATCTAAACTTTGTTCCACTGCTTGTACTAATTGCAATAGCATAATTTTGGCCAGTAATTTAATGGAAGGATTTGGGACTGACAATCTCAGTTGTAAGGATGGAAAGGTGGGAAATGGGAGTTTCAGAAACCCTTTGTAAAGCAAATATTATACATTCCTATGCAGAGTCCCTTCATCTTTCTTGGCTGTTTCAGAGGGATATAGTCACAAAATACAATAAAATATGTTAAAATTTGAACATAGGGACCCTATGTATTGTCAGCACAGTAATTTGCTTCCCAACATCCTCTCTGGTGTCCAGAGCTCTTTGCTTGATTTGTGAAAGCTGCCTTAATTAAGCTCTGGACTGCACTTGGTGAGATTGTTATCGAAAAGATTCTTTGGCACTGTTTTTTCCATGCATGGAAAGCCATGGACACAGGGTGCAGTGTTCTGCTATGATCCAGGGAAGGAAAGCAGGCATGCTGTGAGCAGGGGGTCTCCTCTTCCTTACAGCCCCTGAACCTCCTAGTGGGTTTTTCTGAGGAGTACCCTGTGATTTCACAGGACATCTCTGTCTTACTGTCTTTGTTCAGATGGGCAGATTGTGCACACTGCACTTGTGAAAATATGGTGGAGTATACATAGGTCACACAGTTGGCAAAATGTGCCAAACTAGTAACTTTCTCCCTCCAAATATGATTATGGAGAGCAAGACCTTGTAAACCCCTCCATTTATACTAAGGACAGAGTGATTACAAGTACCTTTTCTTAATATCCTCTCCCATTAAGGAATAAAAATTAAGTCTCCCTGCTTGGTCCACTCTTCTGCTCTGTGATACATCTGAAACAATTCCAGCTGGTGCTGGTGTTGTGGCACCAGGTCATGCTCCCTGGATGTGGGCTGCAAGAAATGGGTCACTTCAGCAGAAGCTGCCATAGGGCCCTCAGGGCATAGACACCACTGGGTAAGAACTGCCAATCAGTGTCTGGATCTGCATCCTCTGCTCTTCTGACCTGTTCTGTCCTGAGAGAGTACTTTTATGCTGCTTTTTCCCTTTTTTTTTCCTACAGATACCTTTCTGAACCTTATGGCATGTTTGATGTTCATTGACAGAGGTCATGTGAAGCTGCACATCCCTCTCCAGGAGCAGAAAGGAGATCACAGTGGATTCAGTCTGCAAACTGCCTGTGAATGAAGGGGAGAAATGTGCCCACACCCACGTGGACCTGCTGCAAGAGGATGTTTTGCTCATTCCTTCTACTTCATTGCTCCTCACATTCTTCTCTGGCCTAGGAATTTGACTTTGTCTCCTGTAGTGTTTGAACATCTGTATCCTTTCTTAGGCTGCTGGGTATCGCTTCATATTCCCTGAACTGATGATGGGATTCTATCAGAGATATCAGAGGACATGGATTTGGCAGTGATAAACCCTAATAATAAAACCATTACAAGTCAGATTTTGTAATCCATCTGCTGGATATCCAGATCCCAAGGATGGACTCAAATATACACATGAATATTTCAGAAAACATTCCACATAACTGTAATATAGAAATAACTTCCTTCAAAATCCTGAGCACTGAAATGTTTGCAGTTGCCTGTGTAATATGTACTATTCTGATCATTAAATTCTGCAGAGCAGTAAGACCAGTGGAAATAGCCAGGATTTGGATTTTGAAAAGCAGAAACTAATGCGCATGTATGTAAAAAACATAGGCAGTTTTCTAAATTATTTTCAGGTGTCTTCTTTAATCCATCTGTAGAGATGAAAACAATGTCAGATTTTTCCAAGGTCTCTTTCTAAAATGAGTTATGAAGGCAGTTTCAAGGTAATGTACATTTTCCATTCAGCAACTCATGTGATGCCATGAAAAGTTCCTATCCTGCTCAAGGCAATTTAAGATTTGATGTTAATGTCATGAAGACAGTAGCAAAATATTTCAGGTGTACACTTAGACCTCAGGATCCATCCATGTCACATGGAACTGTGTACAGCTGGGGAGGAGTTTTAGGACAGCAGTCCCTGCTCTGCCAGGAGCATTTTCTGGCCTGATGTGGACATCCCCATGGGAATTGTGCCTCTGAAGTTGGTAGAAGGAGTGTTAGGGTGTACAGTGTGTAACAAGGGGACAGCCACAGCTCTGCTGTGGAGGTTGAGGCAGGGCAGTTCACGAGTCACTGATTCTTTGGCTCTTGTGAATGAGAATTGCAAAGGGAGTGTGTTGCACTGCCAGCACAATAGCATGTTCTCCACTTGAATTTGTAGATTTGCATTTAAACATCCCCAATCTGCTCCCTGATTGGTTATCCAAATTTCACATTAATTCTGCAGGTGATTCATATTGCCTTCTTGTTTTCTGCTGGTCCCCTAGGAGACCAATGGGTTTCATTCCTTAGCTAACACTGTCAACCTTCAGAAAGCACACATCTTTGCATTATGGCCTCATATAAAGTTGGTAACTTTTGCATGTCAGGAATGAAAAGGAAATGTATAAACAACATGGGAGGCATGGTAAGATGTCAAGGAAAGGGAAACAAATGAGTGTGATCCAGAATGTTACATCTCTTTGTGGGTGACTTGACTGAGATTCAGATTGAAGGGACAGATCTTTTTACTATTACTCCTCAGAATCAAAGGATAAGAAATTTGCTGGAGGTCACTTAATCCTGACTGCATTCATATACAGGTGATTTGTTTCAGTGCACAGGGGCATATCCTGCAGTGTTAAAATCAGTGGGAATGTTGCTGCTGAAAATAGGAAAAGCATTTTATCTTTGTTTCTGATAACTGATGTCACAAGACCTTGGAAGGGGTTTTACTGCTCTAAAAAAAAAATCTGAACTTGTGTTTTATTCCTGGTGCCTAATGCCTCCATTGTGAGTGGTATTTCACCAGGATGCTCTGCCTTGTGAATCCAGGGAGAAGGTTATACACTGGAAAGGCGTATGAAGCCAGCACTTAGCGAGAAACAAGTAATTAAGCCATCTGGATAGAGAAGGAGACATCAAAAATAACAGTTTAACAAAGTAGGTGTCTGACAACAAGAAACAGGAACTGGGAAGGTGAGGTTTCAGGTGAACCCATAGAAAAGAACAGTCGTGGTTATACAGGATCCTCAACTTGTTGCACTCTCAGCTGCTCATTCCTCTCTGGAGTCTTTCCAGCCCAGATGGTGCAGCTGAGGCTGCATGGCCTGAGGCAGAGTGTTGGAGCAGCAGCATGTTGTTAGCTGGCTTAGCAAAAAATTGTCTTTTTTTTTTCTCTTTTTCAGCCCATGTACTGTAAGCTGAGGCCTAACTCTGGACTTACTCTTTTCCTGTGGTTGAATCCATAGAGAATTGGACTGTAATAATGGCAGCAGATTGTATATTTTCTTGTCTTTGGATGGCTTGACAGCAGGCCAGTGATAGCAGTTTTCAGAGCAATAAGGATTACCTGTCTATTATATTTCCCTTTCCTCACTTACTTGTCTCCCCAAGCTGAATTATATTTTTTCAAACAGTTGGGATTTCTTGCGCAAGTTAACTTGCTAGAGCCTGTGCAAACCTGGGTTCTGGTTGTTCCAGTGGAGCACTGTCAAGTCTATGCAGAGCCACAGTTTTCTAGTTTCTTTTCAAATATCTGATTCCAAGCAGGCTGAATTGGTATCTCCTGGAAGTTGGTATTCCCCCTGTAATATTTCTGTGCACCCTCATCTGATAGATCATTCTGAAGACCAGCAGCAGTAGCTCTTATTCAATAGGTGGTGGTTGCAAATTCCTGAAGTGGGGAAGAGTGTTCTGAAAATTTTATCCAAAACCTGGATTTTTCTCTGTTTTTTTTTTTTTCTTTTCTTTTTTTTTTTTCATGGTTCTTTTATATTTATATATTGCTCTGAAACATTTGCATCTTCTCTTAAAGTTGTTTTCAATTTAGGTCTTCAGTAGAGGAGCTAATTTTAGATTTGTAGTTATAATTTCTTTCCCTCATAAGAGTCTACTAAATAGAAAGCACTTTTCTACAGGATATTGTTCTGGTTTGTATTCCACCTTTTTTTCTTCTTTAGGAGTGTTAAAAAGATGCCACTTAATTTGAACAGTAGCAAACTTCAGCCCCAAACAGAGAAAGAAATATGCAGTCTTTCTCAAGACATGTTGAGACATCCCCCTGCAGCTGTAATGGGTTATCAGCACATCTCCACCCTTTCACCAGATGCAACCTCTTAGAGGCAACTTTGTCTTCAGACTTCAGTTGTATATCATCTGATCTCAACTAGTGTCAAAAGACCCAGGAGCTCTCTGCCTGTCTGCTGGAACATTGATCCACTCACCACAACTATTTACAAGATGTGAAGTCTTTCCTTCCCTTGCACTCTCTTTCTCTCTTAAAAAAAAAAAAAAAAAAAAAAAAAGCTGTCAGTATTTCAGAAAGTGTGAGCAGCAGATCTTTGTGTACTTTAATCCATAAATAAACATTTCTTCTTTTGAACGTCATTAAAATTGGATGTGTTTTCACTGTAAAACACTTCAGCATCCCTATTATTTAGACATATTTGGTGATGAATATTGCAATTAAGTTTTGTCTGTAGGAATAATTGTTGTCTAGAAATACTCAATTTATGCCAAAAAAGTAAATAAGACTCAGACTACAAGGCATATGCTTATAAAAGTAATTTTAGATGTTAAGCTATGCTCCTGCTCTTTTAACAGGTTGACCCAAATGCATCTTTGTTTTTATGACCACGTTTGCAGGGAATTTGTGGAGATGTGAGTTTGGTTTGGCTTCTGCACAATTATATCTGACTTTCTTCTGGAAAGTCTTGTTGATGTATCACATTCAAATCTCCAGCTTTGTCTTCTCTGCATTTGACCTGCAGAAAGGAATTCCTGCTTTAAAATGCTCATCAATCAGTGTTGTGTAGTTAAGCTGATAACAAAGCTAAGGCTAAGCCAGTGTTAATTTAGCCAACTGTTACATTACTGACAATATTTGTCAGCAAATGATTTTAATTAGACCAGCATAATGAGATAAGTAGGCTAAAACTAAGCAAATTACTAAAACTAAAGAGGGATTCTGATGACAAACAAGTCCTGATGAGAGTAAGAATTAATTTTTTTTTTTTTTTTTTTTTTTTTTTTGCCACCAGTGTCTGAGTAGCGTGTGGGAACGGAGAGACAGCACAAATCGCATGAGAAATCACTTAAAAATGATGCTGGTGTGCTGGAATGCTGAGCTGGTGTCAGGAAGGCTTGCAGGGTTTGAGCAAGGGCTGTGCAAACATCCTGAGCAGCCTTGCGTGCCCGCGGCGTCTCCCCCGGCCCGGCGGGGCTCGTTTGTGTTCCTGCCTCGGTGGCTCGCATGGAACAGGGCAGGGAAGGCTTGTGGAAGGCTGAGGAGGCAGCAGGCACTTGTGCTGTGAGATAGGGCAGTGGGAGGCAGGTGGAATAGAACCTTCTGAAGTTTGTGGCTGTAATTAAGAACAGATAGGGAAAAAAAAAAAAAAGGGAAGAGTAGGCAGGGAAAAATACAGTATTTGAGAAAGAAGAATGGAGAGTTAAAATGAAAAGCATTGTTTGGTGTTTGAACAAGGAAGTGTTTGGGGTGAATAACCTGCTGCTCTATTTGTTTCTTTCTCTCACTACATAGTTTTTTTTCCCTGATTTCTGGTGGAGAATTCTGGCCTCTGTTATTTCCCCCTGGATGCCCGTGGTCTTCCTGAGACCTGCTGGCAGAGGGAGGTTTTCACACTCTGAAGTGTTGATTCTGAGAAGTGTGAAGGAAACAGAATCGTGCTGGATGATGTGACTCACCTTGGAGAAGTTGATGTTTTCTGGCTGAGGGAAAGTGTAAAGTTTCATCTTTGCTAGCCCAGATGTTTTAATGGATATTGCTGCATTAGGAGAAAGCCTGGTCTGCCTGTTTGACTCAGACCTGAATAGGAGAATAACAAGTTACATACTAACATAAATGTTTAATGATTTATGATAAAAAAATAAATTAGATGGTGGGCAAAATACTAGGTTAATTGACTATGGGGTCCTAAGTTCCCCAAAATGTAGCATTCCAGCCAAATATGGCTGAAATATCAGCTGTCATATGATGAATATTTTAAAGAAGATTCTATTATACACCTAGGGGTTCATTCGCTTCAGTAATGAGGACAGTTACCTCTGGGGAAAGAAAGCTATATTATGCTTGCCACTTAACCAGGGGCTGGTTTGACAGGCATCAGCTCAGAATATATGTGTATATATAGGGAATCACAGCAGCTTGTCTCAAGCTTACTGAGCAGGCAATGTTGTGCTGTACAATACTCTGGGTTTCTATCTATGGATTTGTGGATGGCACCGAGTGGGATTCAGACTATTTTTATTCCTGAGACTGATTGTTGAGGTGGAATCCATCACCTACTAAATATTAAATCAGCAGGTTTTTTAAAGAGTAACACTGTCTCTGCTGACTTGAATATCCTTATGTGGCCCAGAGGAAAAGAGAAACAAAGACAAGATGAGAAAACTATCGTCTTTGGCATTCTTCTTAATATTAATGATTTCTCTAGTTTTCAAACTCTTGAAGGCAAAAAGTGAGATAGTAGAACTTTCACATGGGTAAGAAATGACCCAGGTGAAAAAAACCCTATACATTATAAAAACCATGGTGAAACTTCTGGAGTTGAATTATTTGTTGGAAGAGATGGGGAAGATGCCTCAACAGATTATTTTTTTAAACAAGTTTTGTTTAATTGTTTCCAAACAGACATGGCTGGGAATTACTAGGAATGTGTCAATTCCAAATTACTTGAACAATTTAACGTAGATAAAATTTATGTCAGATTTTACTCTGAGTGTGGTTTCTGAAACCTGGTGTTTGCAAATGCTGAAACTTTGAACTAACTATCCAACTTACATGCTATTGTTCTTCTTAGCAGACTGACTGAAATCGTAAATAGTTCCTTCATGTTTTTCTTTTTAAAGTTGTACTTCATAGGCAATATCCAAAGACACCTGTGAGGTGTCTGAATGAGTATTCTAGTATACTCATGGATGCCTATATGAACATTCATCATGTACCACTGCACAGATAAAAGCCCATCTCTGTCACTCCTAAAGGATGCTTTAAGACTTTTAAGGATTCTTTAGGATTTTAAAAAATTCTTTTCTGATAATGAGGAGGTAGGTGAAATAACAAAGCCATGATGAATGATGGCTTTTTTTGGTTTTACATTTTGTAAAACAGTCACATTTCAGTTCCAGATATCAAGATGAACAATTGCTGCACCAATCTTATAAACTCAGTGAAGATTCTTAAAAAGTTTCTGCTTGGTGACTGCTCAGTTAATGGAAACTCACTTCTTATGTCACTTTTTTAAGACCTCAGATGACATATCAAAATGTCCTGGATGCCCTGATATTTAAACAGTACATCCTCTGTGATCTACATGGTAGGACAATTTGAGTCCTTTGCTTAATTTCAAGTAATTCTCCTTGTTTAGCCGGATGAATGATCTAGGTTTCAGAATACAGGTGATTTATTCTGACGCTGTTTGTTAGATAAACTGACCCTTCAATGCAAAACCAGGACAAAATGAAAGTACTCAATAAGTTGATGCCTTTGCATATTTCACATGCATTTTTTAAGATCATGTTACATATTCATCAGTTTTAGTCACAGAGTTCTTGCCATGAATGCTCTGTGTATATGTGGATGTCTGAGCTGCTTTGTAGGAGTGAGGGAGGAAAGGAAAAAAGGAAAAATTTTATATGAAAATCAGCAGGGAATAAGTGAGATGAGGAGTTAGGAGGGACTCTGAGCTATATTGTTCCTACTCTCTGCATCAGAATCTTTAGAGGTTGTAGAGTTTCCTTTCCTAGTATAACTTGATGTTCACTGTGGGTTTAGGTCAAATTTTGATGTTATTTAAAATCCAACAGTTATTATTATTCCTCTTGAGATAAGGGTTGAATATTCTTAAATTGTCCAGGGCCCACAAACTTCTTTGTCATCCTATCAGTTCATTCATTGTCTGCATTGGCTTTAATTATGTAACAACATAAAGACTTTATCAAGTCTTGGAAACTTTGGGAAAAATAAATGGGTTTGGTTGGGTTTTCTTTTCGCTTTCAATAGTATATTTGGCTTGTACTTTTTTCAGATTGTGAACCAAAATAGATTAATATTTTCAACACCATGTAGCCCAGAATTTTTTTCCACAATGATAACAGTGAATTGCAAGAAAGAGATTGGGGTGATAGTCAAATATCTGCACAAAGGAAGTAATTTCATCCCAGAAAACTGTAAAAAAATTTTATAGGGGTGCTTCATTTTAAATGAAGTCTAAATCAACTGGAGCTGGAAGCTGGTGCTAACACTCAAAATCCTGGCCCAAAGAACCCTTCCTTAAATTTTCCCCCACTCCTCCTAATTCCTATTCTTTTGGATTTGTTAGGCTTTGTCATGTCTTAGAATTGGTTTGCTACAAAGAGGTAAGGGAATCAACTACTTGGCATAGAGCAATCAGACACAAGTTCTACATCTTCCACAAGGCCTGAAGGCCTTTTGCTGTTTGCAGGTATGGTTCAGAAATGCCACAGCTGCCTGCAGTGGCCGAGGCAGAAATGTGGAACTCATCCCAGGAGGCTGGTCCCGGCTCCACTGTTGGTTAATCCATTCCAGCAGCTCCTGTGTGTGCACTTTGTTTGGGCAGACCTCGGCCACCTCACTTTCAGTGAGTGCTTTGGGTTTATGGTGCAATGGGTAAGAATGGGTGACCTTTCATCATCCAATCTCCAGGAGATTGTTTGGCTAAAGCAAGCCCGTGGCAAGAACACGCTGCTGCAAGTCATGATGATTTCTTCAAACAGTGGGTGATCTGGGGAAGTGAGCTGTTGATGTGGCAGTCTGCTCTTTAGTAAGCTGTGGAGGTCAAAAGAAAGGTGCATGGGCATAAACCCCTATGTTTTTTTCCCCCCAAAGGCCTCAGCATAAACCTGGCACTGCCAGGGCCTTGTTTAGGAGCGATATGACTGAAATGTTCTCTGCCTGGGATTTGTAGAAGGCTTATTTAATTGCTACATGTACCTACCCCCTGTTTTGCTCTTAACTCTCTGCTCATTTTTCTTTCCAAGTCACTGTTATAACCAATGATTTTAGCCAGAAGCAGCTAAAATGACAGAAATCTGTTAAAGGGGTTCATGGTTGGAAGTAGAGCACTACATGCTGAGTGTTGCCTGCCAGCGTTTTACTTGGATTTTAAGTGAGGAAAGTAAGAGTTCTCGTCTTCATTTTTTAATTAATGCAGACACCATTTTCATTCTGAAGTGTCACACACTGAAAATCAAAGGAGCCTTGTATAAATAATAAGGAAAAAAAGATGTTC